GGGGAGCCGCGCCGGGGGGCAGCCGTACCCGCACCATCCCCCCCTCCCCCCCAAAAAAAAACCCCGCCGGCGCCTCCCGGCTGGCTGAGCCGCTGGCGGTGTCCCAGGGCGGGATGGGGTGGGTTCACCTCCTTGCTGCTGCCCCCGGGGGGAGGATTCGGGCTGTTGGGTGGCATCGAGGAGGGCCGTGATGCCATCGGGGAAGGGGCTGGTTTTGTCCGTCGGGGAGCTGCGGATGTGTTCCTGTGGCTTTTGCGAACGGGGTCTGTCGTCTCTCCGTCCCCCACCACCCCAGTTAGGTTGGCGCTGAGGTGAAGGTGCAGCTGGGTTGGACGTCGCTGCGAGTGAAAGGCCACGTGTGGCGCTTCTCGTGGCGGGACTTCTGCTGCGTCCGATTGGGACACAGCGAAAGCAGAAATGAAGTCAAAATAATTCGATGGGATGATCAATATTTGCAGAGCGCTTCGTGGTATAGAGCGCTGGGCAAGTATTTAAGCCTCTCGGTGAGATGCACGTTCAGCCGCATAGCTTTGGTCTCGCAGATCCTGGTGAGTGCAGATAGCCAGCCGGATCCCAGGAGAATTTCTCCTGTAAATCACTGGGTGAAGGCAGTGGGGATTTCCCCCGGGGAGGGGTTGGGAGCTCATGCTTCTGCAGAGTAAAGAGCTTTGGGCTGCGAACCTTGCCATGGTTGTCGCAGACACGAGGTGTCCTGCCGGTGGTACCGACTGTTAGGGGACTGTTGCCATCGCCCCCACACAAGAAGACGTGGAACGATGTGCCTGCCTTTTTGTGCCACCTGGATTTAAGCGTGTGTTTAAAGTGCTTCCCTGTATTCAGTCCTCTCAATTAAGTATTCTTCTGTATCAAAATCTGTCGCATTAGTAATGTCGGGAAGATCAGTCCTTAGTTAACGGAATTGCCATTACATTCAACCTTTTTACAGGTTTTCTTGAGAAAGAAAAAACAGCCACATCTAGTTTCTAGGGCCAGTTACATACGTGAACATGAGATTTTCCAAGCTATGGAGGACTCTGTCATAATCCAGTAGGAATGTCTGTAGGAAAGTAACTTGCTGTTAAAGCGGGCATCTATTCAGAGAAACGACTGCAGAAATGGCATTGTGGGGTCCATGTTTATGGTTTCTCAGCAACGCTGGTTGACGTCTCCTCGGCTGCAAAATTAAAGGACGTATTTTTTTCGACTTGCCAGCTCTACAAGCTTAGCTGGGGCTCCCCGCCATGCTGGGCTCCATCAGGCTCACGCATCATCAGGACTTAAGAACCAGCACATGGAATTTAGTTCGTAGCTAATAGTTGATGCAGGAGACAGAAATGAGTCCAAGGCCTGAGCTTTGTTCACGCTGCAGGGCACTGTAAGGTATTCAAAACTTATTTTAAATGTTGAAGCATGAAGGTCTAGCCCTGCTTGAACCCCATGGCTGGATCTGTTTATTAGGTACCATTTCTACATGTAATCACATTGCCAGGAACAGCCAGTAGTTACATACGCACCCAGGCTTTCCTTTGATTCACTGGGAGTTTTGGATGTGCAAAGAATGTGGGAATGGATCCTACATGATTTATTGGCAGATAATTTACACAGGCTACTTCTTGGCTGCATTACGTGCATTTCCTTTCTGCAAAGCCTGTCTTGGAGTGGTTTAAGCACCATCAGATTTATCTGCATGAGCTTTTGAATACAGTTTTGGGAGAGAATGCCGTCAAGCTAACTTCCCCGGTTTTGGAAAAAAAAAAAAAAGAATATATATCTAGGTTATTTTTGTGTATGGTTATCCCTAGGGCTTTAAATGGCTATAAAGTAAGGACTATAGCCATTTAAAAGAAATTACTAGGAAAGGACCACAGTGACCTTGGCAATATCTAATTGCAGGCTAAACTTTCTGGGTGGGCATTCAGCACTGGATACAAAAAAAGTAAAAATCTTGGCAGGAGCTGCCAGGTCTCATTATTTTCAGTAGAGCTTGACATTTCCAGTGTTTAAAAAAAAAAAAAAGAATAAAAAGAATAAAGTCAACAACTTCAAAGCAGTAGGGGCATATGGAAAAAAATGTTTGTGCAAAACCAATTTAGCAGTGATATAATTACAATCAGAGAAATTAGCGAAGTGGGTTTTTTTCAGATTTGCTTATGGCTTTTCTTCTCTTCTCCCCTCCTCGTCCCCCCCCTGCAGGAATGGGAGCTGGTGGTGCTGGGGAAGTTGAAGTGGAACCTCGCAGCCGTCACCCCGCACGATTTCATCGAACACATCCTAAGGAAGCTGCCTCTACCTAAAGACAAGTTGCTTTTGATCCGGAAGCATGCACAAACGTTCATTGCCCTTTGTGCCACAGGTAGGCCAAGGTGCTCTGAGTACGCCTGCTGCTTGCCGTGTGGTTGACGGAGCAGATTAGTCACTGCTGGTACAAAGGCCTTTCATCTGCCCCATCCTTATGTGATGCGGGAAGAGCAGCTGAGGCCGGTGGGACTGATTGCAAAGGGAATCGTGAATCAGGCCCCGAAACGGCATATAAACAGAATTCTTGCAATCGGGAGCTGTAGTGCGGTTGCAGTCCGGCTCCTGCTCACGCGGGCGGTGTTTCTGCAGTGAAGTCAGTAAGACTTGATTAGACCATATGATGTTCTACTTTGCCCGTTCACTAATTTTTTAAAGGGCCACAGAGGCCAGGTTGGATGGGGCTTTGGGCAGCCTGGTCTAGTGGAAAGTGTCCCTGCCTGTGGCAGGGGGGTTGGAACTAAATGATCTTCAAGGTCCCTTCCAACCCAAACTGTTCTATGATTCTGTGGTCGTTCATAAGGACAGATGTGGGTCAGCCAAAATACTAGAAGTTGTTATGGCGCATTAGCCCGAAATGCATCGGGCTAATGCGTTAAATTAATATGTTCATAGATTTTCATTAACTGGACACTGTAAAAAGGTAAAAATTGTATTTTAACATGCATGTGATGATAGTACCACATTACTGAAGCATAGGGAATGAGAATTTAAAAAGTAACGACTTTTTTTTTTAAGCATCTGAATTCTTTCTCTAACTTCACTACAAGAAAGCAGTGAAACTAAGTCTGTTTCATAGGGAACTGTTACACTCCCCTTTTGTCGTATGTTTGGCTGTACACGGTTTCTGAAGATTTAGATGGGAGTAATTGCTTCTGTGGAAGAAAGGCTTTTAATTTATACCTGTATGCAAAACATGGGGGCTTGTTTCTTTTTTTTTCCCCCCAGTGACTTCAAGAAAATAAGTGTACACTGATTTTCATACAAAATATTAATGCTTATACCACTTCTTGGAAGCTAGACCTGGAACAGATGAACAGCATGCAGTGTTTTCCAGGGTTATTATCGAGTAGTATACGGCTCAGTGTTTGAATTCATTACAGTTTGACATAATCCTTTGCGATAGGAACTGTTCTGCCCACGTGTTTGCAGAGGGGAAAGGAAGACGAAGTGCAGCTTTTGGGTATGAATGTCTACTGCTATGCCTGCCTCTCGGTATTTGAGATGTAGTAGGCCAGTTTTTGCTCCCTCAATCAATCTGTTTTAGAAAACCTTATATGAGCTGTGTTAGAGTAATTGACTTTTTGTTTACCAAGATGCTCAAGCTTTTCCTTCTTTTCCCACCGCTGCATGATCCTTTTCAGGTGAAAGACCACAGGACTCAATACAAATATTGCTCAAAGTCTGCAGGATCACTCTTGGTAATTCATCAGACATTTCTGGAATAATTAGCTTTTTACTTTAGTATTAATCTGTTCCATCAGTTTTGCCTTCTTTCTTTGCCTTCTCCCCTTACCCAGGATTCATGCACACTATCCTTTTCTTCTGAGAAAGATTTTTTTTCCCATGGACATTTCTTTGGACCCTCGCAACACCATCAGCCATCAACCTCCAACATACCTGTTGTCTTCCAAACCAAACCAGTGTTCCCCCTCTTTTGTTGCTTTCATCTCCTACAATAGTGTTTTGTTTTGTTTTATCCAAGAGGACACTTTCTTGAGTGATGTAGATTTCATTACAATTTTACTTTTCAAATTCTGGTCTGTAATCCTTTGCCCTTGAAGTTTTCTGTGTAACCAAAACAGTATGGGACTGTGGGCTATGAAGGAGTTTCCAAAGTCCATGGCTTCTTTTCCACTCTTTCTCCATGAATTCTTGCATGGTTAGCTCCATGCTTTACCAGTCCATTTGCTGAGATCCAAAACAGCATCCCCTTTCCAACCCTTAGCCCAGTCATGCACTTAGAATCATAGAATGGTTTAGGTTGGAAGGTACCTTGAAGATCATCTCATTCCAACCCCCCTGCCATGGGCTGGGACACCTCCCACTAGACCAGGTTGCTCAAAGCCCCATCCAACATGGCCTTGAATGCTTCCAGGGATGGGGTTCTTTAGGCAACTTGTTCCAGTGTCTCACCGCCCTCACAGTAAAGAATTTCTTCCTTATATCTAGTCTAAATCTGCCCTCTTCCAGTTTACAACCGTTACCCCTCATCCTATCACTACACTCTGTGATAAAGAGTCCCTCTCCGCCTTTTCTTTAGGTCCCCTTCAGATAGTGGAAGGCTGCTATAAGGTGTCCCTGGAATCTTCTCTTCTTGAGGCTGAACAACCCCAACTCTCTCAGCCCGTCTTCATAGGAGAGGTGCTCCAGCCCTCTGATCATCTTCGTGGCCCTCCTCCAGACTCGCTCCAACAAGTCCGTGTCCTTCTGGGGACATGTTGGAGGCCCCAGAGCTGGACACAGTACTCCAGGTGGGGTCTCACAAGAGCTGAGTATAGGGGCAGAATGACCTCCCTCGACCTGCTGGCTGCACTTCTTTTGATGCAGCCCAGGATGCAGTTGGCTTTCTGGGCTGTGAGTGCACATTGCTAGCTCATGTTGAGTTTTTCATCCATCAACACCCCCAAGTCCTTCTCCTCAGGGCTGCTCTCAATCCATTCTCCACACAGCCTGTATTTGTGCTTGGGATTGCCCCGACCCACATGCAGGACCTTGCATTTGGCCTTGTTGAACTTTAATGAGGTTTGCATGGGCTCACCTCTCCAGCCTGTCCAGGTCCCTCTGGATGGCATCCCTTCCCTCTAGCATGTCGACCACTCCACATAGCTTGGTGTTGTCAGCAAACTTGCTGAGAGTGCACTCAATCCCACTGTCCATGTCGCTGACAAAGATGTTTGAGAGCACCAGTCCCAGTACCGACCCCTGAGGAATGCCACTTGTCACTGGTTTCTGCTTGGATATTGAGCCATTGACTGCAACTCTTGGAGTGCGACCATCCAGCCAGTTCCTTGTCCACCAAGTGGTCCATCCCTCAAATCCAGGTCTCTCCAACTTAGAGACAGACATGTCATGCAGGACAGTGTCAAATGCTTTGCACAAGTCCAGGTAAATGATCTCATTTGCTCTTCCCTTATCCACCAATGCTGTAACCCTGTCATAGAAGGCCACCAGATTTGTAAGACACGACTTGCCTTTAGTGACGCCATGCTGGTTGTCGCTGATCGCCTCCTTATTTTTCACGTGCCTTAGCATAGTTTCCAGGAGGATCTGCTCCATGATCTTGCCAGGCACAGAGGTGAGACTGACCGGCTCATAGTTCCCCAGGTCTTCCTTTTTTCCCTTTTTAAAAAACACTTCTCTCATGTGTTTCCCCTGTGTGGTCTGCTTCTCATGTTATAGATCTCCAGTGCATGAACCAAAGTCCTTTATGTAGCGTTTAAGGAGGCAACAAGTCACACTTTCTTTTCTTGTAAATGAAAGACATAATTGACTGCATATGGAGCTTCCTGAAAGACAGGGCACCACGGTGCTGGCTGTGGATTTTCTTTTCTTCTTGTCCCATTTTTCACAAGCCACTGTGTTGGCATTTAGTTTTGAGGAGGACCCTGCAACTCCTTGCAGTTTCGAAAGCGGAGATCTTACCCAAGCCCTCATTCCCAGTGTACAACAGGCTGCTGCCCCCATTTGCATTGTAGAAATGTCATGTTATTACTACTGTATTTCCCTTTCACTGCCACTCTTCTTGATGTCGTTCTTACCCTGCTCGGTGAAGAAAAGCCCCTTCTCATCAGACTTCCTTCCAGATCCAGTTGTCATTTCCTTTTCTTGTCCTATTTGTTGCAGAGCTCTCACTGGCTGCTGTGTTTCTTCTTTCCCTTTCTCCCTCAAAGCTTCTGCTCTCCACCAGCGTGGGTAAAGCCTGGTGTTTCATTTCCCCATTTGCCTTCTGTCAGCAGGCATGTGGCTTTCTTTGACATGTGGCTGCCTCTTCCCTTGCTCCCTCCATGTGTGATTTTAGCCTGGGTTTGACTCTTTTACCAGAGCTGGCTTTGCTGGCTGGCTAGCAGCTCTGGTCTGGAGCACAGCAACGTATCTCTTTCTTATTCCATCTCAGTGCAGTTTTCTCTACTTTCAAGTACTTTCTTTTCTTCTTCAGTGTATCGTGCAAAATCTGGCATATTTTGAACTTTTTTTCCTCTAGCTTGAGTTCTTCTTCACCAACTGCACCATTTCAATTTGCCAGAAGAAAAGTTATACCAGAAGTTCCCAAGTGTTGCCTGCCTTTACAGAGCCAGTTGTCATCTCCGTCCTGCACTGCTTTGTGTCAGCAAACGGAGAGAGAAGCAACCATTAACAGTTCTGAATGTTGTGCTGGATGTGTAGGATCACTTTGATACGCATCCCTGTTCTCCTTGCGATTTGAACGTAATGCAAAAGGAGTTGACACTTGGGTCTTTTGTGTATTCCTCTCAGTCATATTTTATCATTTTGGCACTCTCTCCATTTCTGTCTTTATTTTAAGCCCAGTTTCTGAAACAAGCTGCAGTGATATAAATCCACAGCTTCTCCCCAGTCCTTGCTGTGATTAATGATTCACATGAGCATGACTGAAACCAGAATGTATCCCCTCTTTGCCCTTGGTCTCATCTGAACATACGGCTGCTGAGCAAGACAGAACCTTATTCCCTGAATAAGAAGTTTTCTCTTTACCATTCTCTGCACTCACAATGCTTTCGGGAGCCTCCTTCTCTACTGGAAAGGGATGAAAGTGGTGTCTGTGTGCAGCCCGTCCCTGGCTGTGCTTCCAGCACCGCGGCCATGCAAACAAGGTACTGTCGTTAAGCGAGAGCTTGATCTGTTGGCTGGGAATTGCCTCTGAGTAAGCCAGCTTTCTTCAAGCTGCCTCGCTTGGTGCATGGTAGGAATGTATAGATTGACATGCACTGGCATAGCCTAGTCTATCATGATGTCATTTGTTTTCTCATTCCGCTGGTGGCTCCCTGTGTAAGTGAAAATCTCCTTCAGGCATCTTCTGAGTTTTAAAGGCGCTAAGAG